TGTGGAATAGAATCGTTATCAAACTTGGTGGCATATCAGGATATATCATGAGACTTTTGGGATGAAGAGGTAACAGGTAGTCTGTTCAGTGACTTGAAGTGAGGCCCAGAAGTAAGCTTTCTTAGCTAGTTCTTGGCTTGCAGTTCAGTCTAGTGGTGTAGCATAGAGCACTTTGGACTTGAAGTCTCAGTTCTGAAACTTTCCTTGACAATTTTCATGATCTGAGCAAGTCAACTTTTATGTTCTTCATGGGCTCAGCTGTCTCTTGAAGTCGTTCCGTTTCACCGACCGAGATTCTAGTTACTCCCCTTCTCATCATCACTCAGTACTACTGTTTCAGCTCAAGCCAGTGTATGACTTTTCTCACTGTGGTGACTGAATTCCTTACAAAAAGTAATTTAAGGGAGAAAGGGCTTATTGTGGCTGATAGTTGGAGGGGATCATTACAACATGATGGAGATGTGTCAGCAGGAAGAGAAGGAAGGCATGACAGCATAAAGCTGACTGGTTATCCTTCAACTAATCAGGAAGCAGAGAGTGAGGGACCAGAAAAATAGGGCTGGGCTATAAAATCTCAAGTCCTTCCCCTAGTGACTCACTTCCTCCCATGAGGCTTCACTCTCTTAAAGGCTCTACATCCTCCTCAACAGCATTTCTAGCTGGAGACCAAGTATTCAAACATTCAAATCAGAGCAGCCAGGATTGACATTTGGAAAAGATTTGACTTTGTTTGTAGTGGTTGTAGAGCCTACCAAAGTGGGAAAGGGAAGGAGACCATAAGCTGTACCTTGGCAGGGTGGAAGTTCCCTGGAGAGATGGAGACAGCTACAAAGTCACATGGTCAGAGGAGAGTTTCAGTCTGGAGAGCTCTGCGAGGTGGTATAGTTTTAACACTTTGTTGGAATACTTCCCAAATGGTGTTTTCTGGAACATTGGCTGTGAAACATACTCTGAAGAGATCTCTGTGTTAATAAGTTTGGGAGATGCTACATGCCGTATTATGGTCTAGGAGACTCATGGTACACGCATCCAGGGCTTTGAGGAATCCAATTAACCTTACTTAGTCTGGAATGTGTCACATTTATTTGGTCACAGAGCACTTAAAAGCAATAACTATCAATTAATGTTCCGTGGAACACTTTGGGGAAACACTATTATAGAAAACAGGGAGTCATTATGAGTTCTGTGTTCAGTTGTAGAGAACTTTTAGGGGAACTTGGGGAAGTGATCATTAGGAAGAATATTTAAGAAGAGCAGGAAATGAACTGGAATCTCTTAGTTTAGAGAAGAGAAACCGTATGTAAACCATTTCTAGTCGTGTGAATTGGTATAATGAGGAATTTGATTGATTGTTCTTCATATTCGTTGAGCTTAAAAGCCAGAAGGAATGGGCTTAAGAGTTAGGCCTGGAGATTTAGGAGGAAGAAGAAAAACAGAAATCTTTCTGATCAGGGATATAAACTAGAATAGCTTATCTAGGGAAATAATGTAATTTCCAGAGTCTCATCCATTTCGTGTAATAAAATGAGGAGGATAAACTAGATAAAAAGTCAACTTCTCTATGTTTTTGTGCCTGTCTTTTGGTATGCAGAGGCCTGTGTACTTCCTGTGAGAGCCACAAAGCACCATGGTCACTGAAACAAGGATCTAGCAACCTGAGGAACCTTATACTTGGAAATATCCCCGTTCTTGTTCAATTTCCTACCAAGGCAGGGCTATTTTTTGAAATACTTCTTCCCCGAGGCCTCCAGCAATGTTCTGGGAATAACTCCAGTGCTTGAGAGGTCATTACTTTTCTATGCAGGTCATTTCATTTACAGATATCTTTAATTGTTAGGAGGTTCTGCCTTACCAAGAACCAAATTTTACCTCACTGCATCTTCTCCATGTTAAATGGAATCATTTGGGTTGGAACTCTATAAAATATGGAGACTTCTTTTATCTCCGAGATAATCACTTATATGTTTCAGGACAAGTACCACATCTGAGCTAATTCTTCTTTAAGATAAGGAGCCAAAGTTCTTCCTAAACATATTCTAGTTTGGTAATGACCTTACAACATGATGCCCAAAGACTATGGGTTGATCATAGGGAATTGTATCTGTGATGGTCAATCTTAATTGTCAACTTGGTTGGGTTGGGAAATGCCTAGGATAAGTAGTAAAGCCGTATTTCTGGAGGTGTCTGATGGTATTTACAGAAAAGATCAGATTGTGAATCACGAGAGTTCTAACCTATTAATGGAATCCCTTGTTGGATCCAATACATATGATGAAAAGTAGGTGATGGGGCTTAGTTGGAGAAAGTAGGTCACTGAGAATCTATCTTAGTGATTGTATGTGTCCTTGTCCTTTCCTATATTCCATTCTTGCTGTTTTCTGGTTGATGATGTGAACATCTCTGATTTGTCAAGCCCTCCTCACCTTGGTAGACTATAACCTCTGAAACCATGGTCTTGTTGTGTATTTGATAACAATGATGATAAAAATAATGCATGGTATCTTTTGAAATGGACAAAACCTTAATTCAAAGAGACCATGTATATAGGGCATAAGTGTGAAACTAAAAAATTGTACTCCGAAAATGCAGAGAAATCCCAGGCATAGGAGGTAGGTGTAGGAGACCTGCACTAGAGTAAAGAAATGTTGGTGAGCACAGTCTCAGAAAATGACATTTTGGGAGGTGTTAGGAATTAGAAAGGTTTGTTGACTAGTTTTTATGTCAAATTGACATTGGTTAGGTTCTTCAGGGAAGAGGGACCCTCAACTGAGAAATTGTCTCCGTCAAATTGCCTGTAGGCAACTATGTAGGTCATCTTGTTGATGAATGACTGATATGGAAGGGCCCAGCCCACTTAAGGCTGTGCCTCCCCTGGGCAGGCAGTCCTCGGTTGTATGAGAAAAAAGGCTGAGCAAGCTATGATGAAAAAGAAGTAAACAGCACTCCTCCATGGCCTCTGCTCCAGTGCCTTCCTCTAGCTTCCTGCTTGAGTTCCTGTGCTGACTTCCCTCACTGATGGAGTATGTGACCTGTGAGTTTTAAGATGAAATGAACCCTTTTCTAGTTTTTTTATCACCACAGTAGAAACCTTAAGAGAAAAGGGTTATACTTAAACTTTCTAAGTCACTGAGTTCTATAACCAAAGGCATGTTCCAAACAATTAATGAAGTCCTAACAACCCATGACTCATCTTTCTGTGACCTATATAACTTTTAGCAGAAGTGGGAGATAAGGTTTCATGATGTTCCTGTTGGGGGTAGGCAGGGACACCTCAGTGCTTCAGAAAAACATCACTGCTTCGTGATACCTTCTGGGACCATTCTTGGGCCGCCTACAACGCACCATCTAGAAACAAAAGCCAGGTCGTGATCATTTGTTCTGTTCATTCCTATTTCTAACAGAGAGTTGCATCAACCAGCGTTTGTTCGGCAATCATGTCCCACAGTGTTCAAAAATATTTTTCTCTCTCACATACTGCTATCAATTAAATTGTTCCACATATCACTGTTAACTCTGAGCTTTAGCACAGGGTTTCCATTTGTTCGTGCCACATCTAATTTTATTTCTGTGTCTTTATTGATGTTGGTAAGCTGGTTCTTCGTGCAGTACTTGGTGGTGTTCCTGAATTGTCATGATCTTCACTTTGGATAAACATGTCTTCCATTTCTTCCCCAATGTTTTTGAACATATTCACCAGGGACAACCAAGGGAGAGGGTTCTGTGGGATGCTATTAGAGAATTTGCTTGAACAAGACGTCAGCATTTAATTGGCTCTTTGAATAACTGTCCAGCCAGCTGGCTTTCAGTCATAGCAAGGACTACTTTCCAGAATGTTGGTTTGCCTTCTTGTTTATAGAGAAGTAGCAGCTCACTAAAAGTTGAGATCATTATTTAGCAGCTGAATTATTCTTTTTCCACCAGATACTCATATAAATCTGGCTGATATAAAACCAGAAGTATTTTGATACAGAATACAGAAGTATGTTGTACATGACAAAGATTTAGCTGTCTTTCTCATGATATTGATCATGCCCTTTCAGTCACAGATATGTTCAATAGTCCACTGTGTAACAAGTAACAGGTATCTCTGACACCACTGGGTTCAAACTCTTTATCCAGTTAAAAGAATTAGCTAACTTAACTTTTAATCTCTTTTTTTCTCTTTGAGGTGTGTGTGTGTGTGTGTGTGTGTGTGTGTGTGCGCGTGCGCGTGTGTGCATGTTCCTTGGTTCTGATTTTCTTAATAGGCCACAGTCACTAAGACTGTGACTCTTGACTCCCCATTTCCACCCCTTGGATAGTTTGCTCCCTTCATTTGCTCTGACTAGTGTCTACTCTGCTGCTGTCTGAAGGCTCACTTCCTTCAGGAAGTCCTATCCACATAGTCCCTCCCATCCAGGCTTTCCCCTGTGGTCTTACCTGCCACTCAAGTGACCTTGCCTGTAGACCACATTCTCCAGACTTGGTTATAAACTCCTTGAGAGCTGAGCCTGTTCCTGGGTATATCAGATTCTCAGTGAGCCAGTTGAAGAACAGGCTCACCAAGAAGCACATCCAAGGGGACTTTGAAAGATCTCAAGTTCCTCTGTTAACGCTTGGAGTGTGACTCTGAACAAGCAGCTGCTTTGGGCTGGGGGCTTTAGATGATTGCAGAGTTTTAGGCTAATACAAAGAATACCGCATTAGGAACAAGTATCCCTGATCCATATTTGCCAAGAGCCCTGGGAAGTGTGCTTAACCAGCTCACTTGCTTCTCCCAGTCTCAATGTCTGCATTAGATAAAGAACTGGGACTGTGCAGTGAATAAATACGGAGTTGAATACATGTGACTTTTGGGTAAATCCCTTCATGCCTCAGTATCCTTATTTACAAATTCCCCATTACTTGGCAACACTCTGGTGTGGACTGGGTAAGCCCAGCTCAGTAACAGGGAGGAAAGGTACCAATGTATTGAATGTGAGTATACATCAAGTCATCGGCAATGTTGCGTAGCACATTATCCTCTCAGCACACATCCTGCAGCAGGAGGAAGAGGCTCAAGGTCGTGATGCTTGTCAATGTTAGAATGAGCTTCCCACTGTGATGCCAAGCTCATGCCTCTCCCATTTCACTTTGTAGCTCCGTTCTTCAGAGTCTGGCTGGACCTTGCACAGAAGCCCTCCGTACCTCTCCAGGGTTGAGACTGGTCCTTGGATGTCCTCAGCCTTAGGTCAGGAACTGGTGCTGATGGGAGGCTCTCCAGCCCGCAGGAGAGAGGTCTGGCTGTAGCTGGATGGCACTGTCCATGTGGCTGGCGTGCAGCTCTGCTTTCACACTCTCCCCAGAGGAGCCGGAGCAGGCACAGGGGCATCCAGGCGGCATGCATGTTTTATAAAAAGCCATCAGGAGCACCATCTTCGGACTGCAGTCATTTATCTGCACTTTTTCCTTGTAAAATGTTACTGACTGTTTTACACCGAGGGCAGTTTATCCTGAATGGGATGTACAGGCATTCAATTCACCTCTACTTCCTGCCAAGTCTACTTTTTCACCCCCCACCCTTGCTTCCGAAGTTATGTATGGTTCTAAGAGAGGAAACCATTTTCTATCCGAAGGGGAAAAAAGAGCTGACAGTTTTAAAGAGAAACCTTCCATCATAGGAAAGAACATTTGGTTGAAGAGATAATGCCTTTTTTGTTTGTTTGTTTTTAAATGGAACACCACTTTAGTGGTCTTGTGGTTCTCTGAAACTGACCTGGTCAGATGTTAAGAACTCCACAGAGATGATTCCTATCAGAATATCTTGTGAGGGTAAATGGAGGACAGATATGATCAGGCCTATTTTTCTAATGGGGAAATTGAAGCCCAAAGAGGTTAAATCACTTGTTTAAGACCACAAAGGTGCTGGTAGAAGCAATTGCCTTAGCAGCCAGGTTAATAACAGGGAAAGAAGGGAGGGAGGAAAAAAAACCCTCCTTCTGGTTAAGCACCCCTCCTCACCCACTCCAGCTCTCCCACGAGCATCTCCCAGTCTTTGAAACTGCTCTTTTCGTATGCGATTTGACGGTGAGTCTAAGTTTCTGTGATATTAAGCAATTGCCTGAAAGTCACACTTGGTTATTGCAAAGTAGGTTTCCAACCCAAACCTTGTGAGTCCGAACTTGTCTCCTCCCCAGACCCTCCAGCTGCCTTCATTAGTATCCGCCACTCGCCTGCCCTGGCTTTTGCAGGGAATCTAAATATAATGGATGGCTGTGCAGAATGCCAGGGTATTTTAATTTATAGAAAAGAATAATGGGGTTCAGGTGAATGCCCTCTTCGGTATATTCTCTTTGGAACGAGGCTTAGCTTTATTGTCCTTTCACTTCCCGTTAGTTCTAGCTAAAGTGATTCCATAATGACATATAAACCCAAACATGAGTAATTGATGGCAGCCTCAGGAGCTGGAGCAGGATAAAACCAGACCAACTCGAGTCTCCAGGGTGAAGAATTAACATTTATTGGTTTAGTGAAATGAATTTATGTCCCAATAAAGCCAGTTACGGACTAGACAGTGATTTAATGAGGTGCCTTTTATAAAAAGAACAAATATGAACTTCTGGGCCTGGGTTAGATTGTAACTAATATGTCACTTGCTAAAACACTTTATAGATATATTTGGGGAAAAACTGTAGTATTTCCATAATCCATGAAATTTATGTTTAACCCATTCTGTCTACAGAATTGGAAGCCAAAGGGGAATACAATCCACATCTCCGACCACCTGAGCAGCACATTTCTTCACCAGGCCCACAAGATCAGGGTTCTGAGTGTGTCTGGAAGCCTGAAGGGTAAAGATGAAGAAAAATGCTACCATAAAGGACAACAAAAGAGAAACTGAAACTAGGTAGGTCTGACTCCATTTCAGTCTTGGATGACCTGGTCTACAGAAGTAAATGAGGTCAAAGGGCAGAGAATAAAGGCTTCCAGTGCATTCTTTGGGGGTGGGGTTGGGGGCAGAAAAGGATCCAGTGGCTCCTGTCTCTTGTAGTTGACAGCCCTGGCTGCCATTATATGCCAAGGGATTGCTTTCTTCCCACTCTTGTTCTTTGCTCTTCACACAGAGAACTGTGGAGTTGGTTGTCTCTGGTGATAAAACTGTGCAGGTTCCAAAGCCCAGTCATTCCCAGTCTTTCATTTTGTGCTGTAGATCTAATCCACCAAGAAATCCCATAGGCTCTACTTTCAAAATGATATCTAGAATCTGTTCACGCCCCACAGTCTCCACAGCTTCCTCCCAGGTTCAGCTGACACTTTCTTCGCCCAAGTGGCTCAATAAATTCTTAACTGATCTTTCTGCCCCTGTTTCTGATTCTGCCCTGAACTGTTTCAAGTATACCGTTTGATTTTCACGTAGCAGCCAGACGTGGGGGGGTCCTCTTAGTAGAATCCATCTCCTTATGTTAGATTTTCATTCCCATGACAAAATACCTGAGCAAGCAACTTAAAGGGATCAGGACTTTTTTTGGCTCATGGTCTCAGAGGTATCAATCCATCACAGCTGAAAGGACATGGCAGAGCATAGGAGCTCACTTCATGGCAGCCAGGAAGCAGAAAGATGACAAAGGCCTGTATTGGTTGGCTCACTTGGTTTTTTTTTTTTTTGGTCCATGCAGGCCTTCAACTTCTAGATGGTGCTGCCCACATTCACCCTTTAGATAGTCCTCCCTGGAAATGTCCAGGCACCTCTCAATCCATTCAAGTTAATGGTTCACCAGCACCTTTTTCTTGATTCCAACGTGACAGTGGCTCCCCATCTCCCACAGAAGAGAGCAGAACCCTACAGAAGAGCCCACCAGCCCTACATGGTCAGGCACCTCCCAGAGTCCCCATCCTCTGATCTCATAGTCTGTAACCACATTCTTGAGGCATTCATACTGCCCCCCTGTTCTTCCAAGCCGGGTTGTATTTCTTCCTCCCTGGCTCTGCTGCCTGCATGCCTCTTCTTCCAGATATCTATGTATCCGACCCCTTGGCCACTTCATGTTTTTCTTTACACCCAGCTTCTCAGGGAAGGTCACTCTATCTTCTGTAAAGTGGGAACTCCTTAGCCTCCCAGTCGTCTTGACCTTCTACCTAGCTCTACCTTTTGCAGAGCACATATTACCTTTAACCTGCTATTCAATCTCCACTTGTTACTATGGATTTTGTTTATCTCCTGTCTCATAGGTGTAAATTCTACAGGGATGGAAATCTGCCTGTTATGCTTATAGAGCCAGCTGGGAAGTCTAGGACAGTGCCTGACACATAGGAAGTGATCAGGAGATGTTTGTTGAATGAATAAATGAACAAATAGGCAAGAAGTCAGCTGAAAGCCATCCTGAGGAGTTCTAATACTGAGAAAAAGAAAGCAGGACTAATTCAATTTTGTTCTCATAGTCTAATCTTTTTTTAAAGCTAATTTGTCATCACAGGTTTCATTTGCTCTTTAACTCTGGAAAAGAAGACTTATCAAATTGGCTTGAAGATATATTTTCTACAACTAGGGAGTTTTGAGATCTTGTTTTTAAAAAAGGCCTTCAATGAGATGAAGAGGATTTTTTCATTGGAATAATTATGACTGAATCTTCTGACTTGATCATATTGGACACTTTGAATTTGAAATGAAGTCTAACAATATTAGGAGAAATGCAACCTCTCATGATGTCACCACTGATACTGACAAAATGTTTGAGCACCCACTAGTTGCAGAGCACTGGGGGAAAATCCTGAAAGCTTTGAATGCACGGTGCACACATCTGTGCTGCTGTCAGGCCAGATGTACTAGTTGGGGAATTTTATGTTCCCAGTGCTTGGAAGCAAGGGTGTCATATTTCATGCATTTAAATGTACTCTGTGAGAAATTGTCTCCTAAGCAGAAAGGGTGGTCACCAGCGAATAAAGCAAAGAGTGTATTGGTTCAGCTAGAAATGTCCAGCAGCACTTGGGATGATTTTAAAAGAAAAGACACAAAACTTCTCAGGCACCGTGTAGACCACAGTTGTCATCCTAATTCACATTTGTACTGCACTGTGCAGCTTACAAAGCACTTGCTTGAAATAGACCATGTTGTGTCTGGTTTCTAGGGCAGGTTTGCCAAAAGCATGGTCTCTGTGGTGCATCGAGGATGTGGGGTTCAGGGTTGTCTGGGGCAAGGGGAGCTGCAAGGAGTAGCCTTCAGTCAGGCTGAAGGTGGGACAGTTACACACATGATGCTGTGCTCAAGAGTAGAGACTCCACAGCCGGGTCCTCTGGTGTCCCACCCAGGCCTGAGTTTCGCTTGCTGGTGTTTTGATTTTATCATCCGTAGAATGGGTTGAGTCATAGTAGGTTTACATATGCTGTTAGGAGGGGTCGGGGAATTTATAGAACAGAGTTCTCCAAAAAAACCTCTGGCATCTGGGGCGTTCCCAGGCATGTCAGCTATCAGAATTTAGGACCAGAGGAGGGGTTTGCTTGTCGTTCACTTCTCCTTCCATTTACTTGTCTGATTGTTGGGAAAAAAATCCTTCCTAGCAGTCATTCAGTTAGCTATGCACTTTTTAATATTATAAATGAACAGGACAATATGCAAATCAGATGAAAACCCAGAGCCCTTGAATAATATATGTATTTGTGTGTCTGTACAGTTTTGCCTGAAGTCCTCATTGAGAATATCTGGGTTAGGATGCATCAGAGAGCCCAGTTTGAATCTTTGCTTGTTGGACACTAAGTCTCAGATGCCTCTGTCCACACCACAATGAGTTATTTGAGTTTTCATATCGAGAATATAGGGTACTAGATGGGTAGACCCAAGACAGCCTTGGAATATCCTTTGAGGGACATTTGAGAAGCAACTTGATGTAGGCAGAGAATAGGCAAACAGTGGCACGGGTATTTCCAGACATGGGATTTTAGATGTAATTGACTTCTTGGGGCAGCCACCCTCCTCATCTCCACGATTCCCCCGCTCTTTGCCTCCTCCTAGGCTCAGTCAGTATCATTTCTCCCTGGGGACAGTAAGCTGCTGAGAAACCCCGAGAGGCAGAGAGACTTCCCAGGGAAAATGAAGGAGCTATGAACAGATCACAGTAGGGACTGGAAAAGCCACCTGACAAAGGCGAAGGCACCACAGAGGCAGAGCCGTGTAATTGGTTGTCAATATATGTATTCCAAAACACGGTCTCCAGGTATCCGACTTCCCAGCGAGATAAAAAAGAATCTTTCAGTGTGAAAGCTTGTTACATCTCAAAGGAAGCACGCTGGTACTTTGCAAGGACAGAGCAAGAAGGCAGCATCCTGAGAGCTGCACAGCACAGGCTTTCTCTGACATCTTGTCCTGTCACAGATGGGGAGGGGGTAGGTCTTTAGATTTCTGGTTTCCTTCTCTTTCTATTTTGCAGCTTCCCAGGGTGATGCAACCTGGTCCAATGCGCAGAGTTTTCTGTGGAGGCAGCAGCTGTGCAGTTTGGCCAGATCCATGCTGCAGAGGAAAATGCTGAGTCTCCTCTGCTGCTAAAAGAGGATAATATAAAAAAGAAACATGCTTCCCCATCTTAGGGACTCAGGGAGATTAATTAGATGTCACCTATGAGGTGTTTGAGGCTCTGGCTGAAGGAGATGCTAAGCGCCAGTTCCAAAGTTAGCTTCTTAACCCACCCCATATAAATGAATGCCCCCCCCATTGAAAACAGCTATAAGGCTTGATGATAGAAGCAGCTACTAATTTAATTTACTCAAAGACAATGAAAAGAGAGAGGAGATGCCACCCTGGCCAAAGCAAAAAGGACCTCCTCCAGGATTCTTGTCCTAGGGACTGGTGAGAATAGATGGGAATATCATGGCTGGGGCCAGGTAACCAGATACTTGGAACAGGAGTTTCCACCCAGCACCAAGACAGATGGTGTACCCATTGCTTGGAAGAGTAACTTTCTTTCTTACCTAATCTTTCTAGCTCAGAAGTGGGTGAAAGCCCAGGTTTCCTTCCCAGCATGTGGTGAAGACAGATGAGAATGCTGTGATGGCTTCCTGCGTGGGTGGTTAGCCCTTTTCTCAAAGCAGAGTATGACTTGATAGTCATTCTGAGCAGAATACAGACCTAACTTGATGCAAGAGTCTGCCACTTGTTAATTTATCAATTTTTAATAAGTATTGATTGCTAATCAACAATTGGCCATAGTCTGAGGAGGAGGAAAATGATCAAGATGGTGAAAGAAATAAGAAAGACCAGCTGGAAAGACAAACAACTGTCAAGCATGAAATTTCCTCTACTCACCCTCACCAGAATAGGGGCTCTACAGGGGCAGACTTTGTCTACTTTTTGAAAAATCTGTTTTGCTCACTACTATATTCCTAGGACCTGGACTAGGTCCTGCATGCCTGTTACTAGTTGCCCAGTAGGTGTTTGCTAAATACATGAATGGAGAAGGCAATTTCAGGTGAGGTCAATGGAAGAAATTAATCCGAGACAGTTAAAGGAAAATGAAGTAAAGGGGTGTATGATGGAACCCTTGGTCTCAGTTCCTCTTACCTACCCCACAGTAAACCCTGCAAAACTCGGGCAAGAGTTTAGATGTGAGGAACAGATTCTAAGCACAGAAAATCTGCTTGGTAAATACTTCTATTTACTTGTTTGTTTGTTTGTTATTTATTTATTATCCTGTCTGTGCATGCTGAAAGTCAGAGAACAACTTTTGGGAGACATTCTCCCCTTCCATCATGTTCTGGGACTCAAGTTGTCCGGCAAAGGTCATTGCCAGCTGAACCGTCTGAGTGGTCTCTCTCAGTTCATACTTTAAAATCCCTCCTGTAGCAACTTGGGGAGGAGAGCTAGGAAAGCAAGGGAAGCTAGCTATGGACTTTTCCCATGGTCTAGACAAGAGTTCATGATGGTTGTTGCTGGCAGGCTGGGAGGTCAGGTTCCAGATGCGTTCCCAAGATAGAACCAACAGAATTTATTAATTGGAGTAATGCAGAGAGCAAAAAGGTGGTGGGACCAGCTAGCCAGGGAGTGTGAAGCCTTAAAGTTAGTTTTCAGGGTAATATCTTGAATACTTACCAGGACATTTTGGCCAGACTTGAGGCGTTTATACATGACAAGAATGTGTGGAACCCAACTTTTGAAATAAAATATTTAAAAGAAATTTTAAATGACATTTTTTAAATCCTATGTATGTGTGGTTGTGCATGTGGAGGCCAGAGGACAGCTTGCTTGAGTTGTTTCTCTATTGGCCCTGGGGACTGAACTCAAGTTGTCAGATTTGGCAGCAAGCACTTTCACTCACCTAACCTTCCAGGCAGGCTTTTAGAATCAAAGAACTGGTGATATCTAGAACCTAAAATATCTTGTCTTATTCAAACCATGGTTTAATTGTTTTGTCCTTAAAAGGAAAGCAATAATTTCTCTAAATGGAAGTTTCTCAAAAGCCCAATATGTGGAATAATTTGATTGTTTTGAGAAACCCAGGTCTTCTGTATTTGTCTTCATTTTTCCCCCTATGTCTCTCCAGGTGTTCTCGCAATAGCAACAAAGACATCTTCCTCCCACTTACTGCTCAATTGATGCTAGAAATACCGTGGGTAGAGATTCATCCTGTTCACTTAAAACACCTCATCCTCCTAAACCGCAAAGCTCAAGGAGAAGAGCAGAGGAGGGCTTTGCTGAACCCCACACATCTTTAGGACTGGAGTCAAGGTGGTTGAGGGAGGCTGCAGGATTGTGATGATCTGGAATCCGAGGAACAGGAACTCTGCTGAGGAGCATGCAGCTGATACATCAGGCCTGCTGTGGTTGCTGGAACTTGCATAATGTTGAATTTTGCCTTCTAGATTTGTTCCTCTGACCTCATCTTCAGGACATTCTCAGTGCCTTCCCTATTTGCTTTGATGAATCGAGCTGAGACATTGTATCTTTCCCCATCCGTGTTCCTGGGTGATGATTCACATCGTTGTTAGTGACAGATACTTTCAAAAGGGCTTGGATATTCTTCTATGTGGGAGACACATTCTAATGGGCAATTAGACTTTGACCCTCCCCTCATTTTCAGAGTTGAGTAGAGGAGGTAACTGTCAACAACAGACAGTGATTCTCTTAGCTAGTTAATATCAAATTCCCAGGTACCCTCCCAGGCACTGCATGTGATTTTACCCGTGGTGGGAAGGATAAGGCTCTGGGAAATAATTGCTGACTAGGTGGATAGAAGTCATGGGCATTCACCCGGCATGCGGTACATCCATTTAAGATTGTGTGCAAGGAGCCTAGAAAACCTGACTGTTGGACCTCTAGGACTCTGATATGCCTGGAGACGAGCTAAGAGGCCACCAGAGGAGCCTGAACCCCAGAAGCCATCACCACTGTGGCAGAAGTCACTAGAGATTGACATCCACCTGGATTTAAAACTCTATGAAATGAGTTGACAACAAAAACCAAGTGACCACAAAAACCAGCTGCCCTGAACTTTAGATGGACACCCCAAACCAACTGCCACAGCTTTGGATTGCTCAGCTATAAAACAGGATAACGATAGTCCCATTTACCCTTCACTGCCTTTAAGGATCTCAAACAGCTCTGAGATTGTTGTGTATCAGCCCCCAAGAAACAAATCTAAATGTGCCCAGAATACGAGTAGGCAGGCACATTGCCTTGCTAACTGGGGAAAGATGTAGGGTAAGAGGATGGTGAGGCCAGTGACAAACTGAAGCACACATTTCATGCAATTTGGATTCTACAAAGCAACATTGGGCCATATGAAACCTCTGTGGGCAAAGCTTGCCTTTGCCTGTGAATTTTCCATTCCTGGATGCTGTAGAATAGGGAGGTCTACCAGCCTATGGAGTGAATATAGGAGGACAAGTCTTTTCATTGGTGCCTGTAGCAGAAAGCTCCTAGGATGTGGTGCTTGGGGAGGCTTCTCCTTCAGATGTTTTCTTGTGGACACTAGGAACTGAAATCCTAATTTCAAGGAATATAGGGCTGAGTATGGGGGAGAAGGGTTAGACAGTGAGTTTTATAAGATTAATGGTTTTCACTAAGACGTAAATACATTATCTACAATGGAAAACCTATTGATTCTCTTTTGGCCATTGGTGCCTAAGTACTTTAAGACAGGAATAAAAATCTGGTGTACTCCTTAACTTTGATATTGCCACATGACTTGCATGGAGTCTCAGGCACCTGACTAGGGACTGACTGGCATTTCAGACAGTACATCTAGGGCCCTGCCCTCAAGACACTTGAAACCTAGTGAGGGAATGTAAGGGCAGGATGGGGCCCATTTGCTCACCTCCTTATATTCAGGTGCCTACAGTACATGGGAAACAAAAACGGGTGGAAAGAACACATCCCTCTTCAATGCAGAAATGCTGAAAGCGAAGGTTAGCAGGGATCCTGAGCTTACTAGAATAGTCTAGAAGAGGATGGACTGCTGGTGGGTAAGCTAAGGATGGGGATTGATGAGGAACAAAAGGGGTTGTTAGGGATCCTTTGCTCCCTCCCGCAGGTCTGGGAGACTTGAGGTGTTGAGCACCCAGCTTGTCCAAGCATCAGGAAGGCTGACAAAGGGCTAGAATTCACAGAATCAGGGGATGCCTGGAAGGTGGCAGGATATGTCTTAGGACCCCTTAGGGCTCTTAGGAACCAACTGAGAAAACTTGGCTTATCTGCCAGCAGGCTCTCATCTGCAGTGGGATGGGAGGGTGAGGGATTGCTCCTCCGTCTTTCTAGGCTGATGGAAAGCAGGTGTTCCAAAGAACTGAGTTCTGTGATGTCTGCCGCCACTGGCCTCGTGAAAACCTTCCCTGGGTGTGAGTCTCAGACCATTTCCCGAGGTTCATATTCCAATTCTTGACCTGGCATCTGCTGAAGCGAGTTATTTCATTATCAGTGATAATCTTAATAACCGCAGGATTTTCTCTTGGTAGATTTACCCCCAGCATCGGCACTGTTAATTGCAACTCTTATCAATAGCTACTGGAGCAAGCTGCTTTGCAATGAAAACAAAGCTTCAAGGCTGGGCTCACAGCAAGGTCAGAATGTCCCCTGAGAGTCTGGAGGCAAGGATTTCAGCTTGTGAACAGACTTAGTGTTTTTTTTTTCTTGGTTCCCACAGGCTCTCCTTCCTTATTTCAGCTTCACCTGCCATGCCAATACTCAGTACATGGGGCCCGGTTTTGCAGACACTGAGCATGCCCAGTGACTCCACACCTGCAACTGCTGAGTCCTGCTGCTTCTCCCATAAGCATGCTGGCTTACTTAGGTATGCTAACTTTAAAAAGTGGGGGATAACCAGAGCCGACCCTGGAGTTGCTGTGAGGAACTGTGGGCTGGTTGAAAGGACATAGGTCTGGGGGCATGCAGCAATTGCTTTAATTTCTTGTCTTCCATTTACCACAGTACTCTGTGGCCTTGAGTTCTAACAGCCTTTTAGGAGTCTTAACTGTACACTGCATTTAATCATACTGAATCATACTGACTTCCACTTGGTACAGGGACACCAGCCTTCATTTCAATTGCTTGAAAGTAGGATGGTCCATGGAAATTATTTTTTTTATCAGAACAACATAGATATATTTATTACTTACAATATACAGGAACTGAACATGTTTTCTCTTCTCCTTTTCCGTTTTAATTTTAAATTAGAAACAAGCTTGTTTCACATGCTGATCTCAGTTCCCTCACCCTCTCCTCCTCCCCTGCCCCCACCGACCCCCTATCCCATCCCGTTTCTGTTCCCAGGGAGAATGAGCCCTCCATGGGGGATCTTCAAATTTGTCATTTGGAGCAGAGCCTCATGTGTCTAGGCTGAGAGAGTATCCCTCTCTGTGGAATGGGCTCCTAAAGTTCATTCACATACTAGGAATAAATACTGATCTACTACCAGAGGCCCCATAGATTGTCCAGGCCCCTTAACTGACACCCATGTTGAGGGGGTCTGGATCAGTCCCATTCTGGTTTCTCAGCTATCAGTCTGGGGTCCATGAGCTCCCCCTTGTTCAAGTCAGCTGTTTCTGTGTGTTTCTCCAGCCTGGTCTTGGCCCCTTTGTTCGTCACTCCTCCTATGCAACTGGATTCCAGGAGTTCAGCTCAGTGTTTAGCTGTGGGTGTCTGCTTCTGCTTCCATCAGCTACTGGATGAAGGCTCTAGGATGGCATATAAGGTAGTTGTCAATCTCATTATTGGGGTAGGGCATTTAAGGCAGCCTCTCCACTATTGCTTAGATTTTTAGTTGGGGTCATCCTTGTAGATCTCTGGACATTTCCCTAGTGCCAGACTTCTCTTTAAACCTATAATGGCTCCCTCTATTATGGTATCTCTTTTCTTGCTCTCCTCTGTTCTTCCCCTGACTCAATCTTCCTGCTCCCTCATGTCCTCCTCTCTCATCATCTCTCCTTCTCTTTCTCCTAACTCCCTCTCCCCTCCCCCCATGCTCTCAGTTAGCTCAGGAGATCTTGTCCCTCTCCCCTTCTCCAGGGACCAGGTCCACGGAGGTTCTACACAGCCATTTTAACCCCAGGTTAGATTGTCATCTTCAGATTTCACTTCTTCACTCTCTTCTTCATGTGCTTGGCCCATCCTTAAAGCGCATCATACCTTTGTGGGTATGTTATGGGGCTTTATATGGAATCTATTTTGGGGTTACTTAATTCAAGTTTTAAAATTTATATTTTCACCAAACATGAACTTGTCAAACTGTATACATTTATGAAGTATTAGGAGATGTTTCAATACAAACATACTTTGTATATTTAAGTCATGTTAAACATACCTGTCTCTTCCTTCATTTATCACTTCTTTCTAATGAGAATGTTCTAACTCTTCTTGTATTTGAGATATACAATACATCATGGGTTTCTATGAATAGTCTCTTGGATGATAATAACATACTTGCCCCTCCAATGGACTGTAGTACCCATCGATCCATCTTCAGCCCTCTCTTGCCAGTCTCTGGAAACCACCATTCTGCTGTCAATATTCTAGAAGAATTCCAAGTCGCAGTGTGATAATGCACAGTGCTGGTCTTTCTGTGTGGGGCTTATTTCATTTAGCACAATGAGTTCCATCTGTGTTATCACAAAAGACAGTTTCATTCCTTTTATGGCTGAGTAGTCTTACTTGTGTCTATGTACTACAATTCTTACCTTTTCACCAGTTGAAGAACACCTTGTGGAGCCTTGGGAACTGACCATATCTAGACCTTCTACTATTCCATGCCTACTATTACCTTTTGCTGCAAAATGATCATGCCTCTCCCTCAGTTCACTCTGCCAAAGACACTTGCCTCAATGGAGTGTTGGAAAGAAAACAATTGAACCCAAGAGATTCAGACTAAAGTGTCAATGACCAAGCAAACTTTTGCCTTTGCAGGAGTATTTTTCTTACAAGGGCCTTTGTACCTTTCAATGGAAATCCTGACCAATGGTAGAGTCACCCTGGAGGAACTTCTGGCTGGATGACAAAGGGAAGCCAGGGTTTCAGGTGTTGTGGGGGAAGGCAGCTTTGGAAAGGTTGGAGAAGTTGGATGGTGTTCAGTTGGTCTACATGTCTGGCTGCCTGAGTGTTGGTTCCTGAAGCTCCTTTAGACATTTGAACACTTCCAGGTTCACATCCAAAGGAAAAGGCCATCGGCACCCACACATTATTCTTTCAGAGATCTGAGGGATAAAGAGCTAACCTGTTCAAATGATTGTGTAGAATTTGCATGGCCCATTGTATTTTCGGAGTTCTTTTTATCTATTAATTAGTTATTCATTTATTTAATGCAGTTTTTAATTGTGTACTTATTCCATATTGCCAAGGTGGAATTATTCAGAGGAGCATTTAAAGGAAATTAACAGTACGACAGAACTTATAATTGTGCTTTAATCTTAAATTAATACCTCTCCCATTTTCACGTTACCAGGACAATTATCCCAAATGGTAGAAGAAGCAGGAAATTATGTATTGCCCTATGTATGACATTCCCTCCTAGAGCATATGCCATTTATCATGGCTTTTTAATCTCCTCCGCATGCATGAGAAGATAAAACATCTTAATATTTCAGTGTTTGGAGAAGATTAAAGTGCCAGCAAACAGTCTTGTTTGTTTTGTCCACTCCTTGAGCTGCATCTAAGTGGGTCAGAGTGACTTAGGTGACTTGAATACACTTTCAGGAATGTGGATGTTGACTTTGAGTTTCTAGGGACCCTGAAAAAGTCATGTAAGGACCCCTAGCAGTATTTCTTCCTTCCAGTACTTGCCCTTTTTAGACTGGGGTCAACATGTGTGACTCAGCTGAGCTGAGAATAAAGACAAGGACGGCCCTTGGACCCCTGTACTGACAGGGGATTTCTTTTATCTTAGAAGAGAACTCCTGAGTTTAGGCCCTCAGCCCACAAACTGAAGTACTGTTCTGCTTTGTCTGCTCTCAGAGGAGATCTGAGGAAGATGCTCTGGGCTCTTGCAACAAGCTACTGGACATTGCATTACTCAGGCTTCTCCAGCAAAAGAGCAACCATAGTGTGTGTGTATGTGCATGTACTCGTGTGTGTGCACCTGTGTGTGTGTGTGTGTATACTTGTGCATACACTGGGATTAAATATATACACTGTAACATTGTGTAGCTGAGGGTGGCCTTAAATTCCTAATCCTTTTACTTCTACCTATGATAACAAGTATACACCACTATGCCTGGATAATACACACACACACACACACACACACACACACACACACACAATCTATCTATCAATCTATTAATCATCATATCTAAAGAAAATTGGATACTGTGATTGTGGAGCTGACACAGTCATGACAGTGGTGGCTGGAAACTCATGTAATTTGGTGTTATAGTCTTGGGTCCAAACATTACAAAATCTAGAGGCAGAGTTCCTTTTAGGTGGGAATTGGTCAGGTTTTGCTTTTAATAACTACATTTACTTGATAAGACCTACCTATGCTATGAAGAGAAGTTTGTTAAGTCAGCTAACCAGAAATCTTAATCATGCGTAGGAAGAATTTTACAGCAACATCTTTGGCCAAACAAATGACCATCATATCTAGCTATGTTGACATATAAACTTGGCCTTCAAAGAGCCCAAGCATCCTTCTGACTGTAGGGTCTTTTCCAGATGACAGGCAGTGGAGGTGTGCCTCCTGCTTTGAGTATGCCCCGGGAGCTTGATTGATTCAAAATTTACTCTGTTAGTTGATTCTTTCTTTTGAAGAAAAACTAAGTGTAATTCTTGTAGGATTTTCAAGGTCAGCCAAGGTCATTCTCTCCTATTGTTATCTTTCCTTTCGTCCATTCCAGTTTTAGCCTCCCCCAATTAAGCAGAAAGACAACTTTCTACAGCTCCCCCCTCTTTGTGTGTGTGTGTGTGTGTGTGTGTGTGTGTGTGTGTGTGTGTGTGTGTGTGTTTGTATGTATGTAAGCTAGAGGACAACTTTGGGAGTTACTCACAAATGCCATACAAGGTCTTTCACTGGTTTGTTGTTCATTGATTCAGCTAGGCTGGCTGGGTAGCAAGGCCCAGGGATAAGTCTATCTCTGTATCTCTGCCTCCCCAGTGTTGTGCCTTGCCAACCGAGTTATTTACTAGCCTCTACATTTTGTGTAACTTAGTGTGGAGAAAGATCATGCTGGGCAGTGTCCTGAGTAGCTGTGTCCTTTCCTTCCATCTCTTCTCCCAAACAATAGGAGCTATTGGTCTGTTACACATGGGACATTGCTCCAGAGACTGTGGTCATACCCAATTGCCCAAGATATGTTGCAGATCCGCAACTGAGGCTCTGTGGGGAAACTGGGAAGGGGCCCTATTGGTCCCTGTGGACTCAGGGTTTGCAGGAGAGCTGAGGCCATTCTAAGTCAGCTGGCTTCATTCCCCTTCCAGTCCTTTTGGAAGCCCTTCTAATAAGGGAGAGTAACACTACTAATTTAGCCTGTAAAGAAATAGCTCTCTTTGAATTCTACCTCCTTGGCAGACTCCCAGGTTGTGATAATCAGCAACCAGACCCACCTGTCACAGCATCTCAGGGACCGCTTTGTTCTCAGGGAGCTATGGCTTTGGTAATCTAGTAGCTGTGGTAGATAAGTCACTATATTCGTGATAAGACAAGGCGTTTTCATGCCAGGGATCCTATCTGCCTTTAGTTCCCAGACCCTAAGTGGGATATTCCCCCAGGTGATGTCCTCAGTATTCATGTCCTGTTCAACATTGCTCATAGTCATAGATACTAGCTCCCCTTGGGCTTCCCGCTCTGACAATACTCCAGGCCAGCCTGTGCTTCTTCTGCCAGCTGGACCATCTCTCATTGGGAGCCAGCCAAAGCAAGTCTCTTGCTTTGTGCTGTCTCCCTCCTGTCATCATGTGTCTTCTTTTTCAGCCCTTCCAACCCACCCATCACCAAGTTCCCTCTGTTCTACTAGCAGAGGCATCTTCTCTTTGAACTTTTCGGGTCTGGAGACCCTCCCCTCCCTCCGTTTACCTTTGTATTGCTAAAAGCCCTGTCTCCTCTCACCACCTTGTCATTCTCTACCCCATGGTTGCTCCTCCGTCGTTATCTGATATATTTTGGGGTTCACCTTTATTGCTACTCAGAGACCAAGATACAAGTTCCATCAGTGGCATCCAGACCCCTCTGTGATGTCATATCCGCAGAGGCTATGGACACTTCAGTTGAACCTGTAGGACAATACTTTCGCATGGGTCACAAAGACTGTGTCTCCTTTACCTTGTACCTGGGACATATTACACAGCCCATTGTCCTGCCGGGTCTTTCCCATGAGCC